TTCCTGTCTGACTCCTGTGTGAAACTTGCACGCTTTACTAGGCTAAATGCCTCTTCTCTTTCTTTTCTTCCCACCTAGATCTAATGCAGTAGTTTATGAGAATAGGACTGTATTTTTCCCCTGGCTTCATTTCAGAATCAGAATGCACTTTGTGTCTGTTACAGGCTGTGATGTATGAAGCAGAAAGAAGATTGATTTTCACAAGCTACCTTGTACCTGAAGTAATGAGGGTGGCAAATTACTTGTTCACTGAGCAAACATGACAGGAATGTCATAGAGGGAATTTATATATATGCAAACACGTGGGGGTCACATCAGTGTTACTTTAACAAAGTGACCTTATCCACCACAGGGGCATTTTAAAATCTGCATTAGCTTACAGAGGAAAGGCTAAATAAAGCTGCAAAGACCTGCATTGCGTGGGATGATGAAACTAACACAGCTAATAAATAATGTAATATTCAGCACAGCACGGAACATAATTTAAATGGCTGCATTATTTCTGTAGCAGAGACATCGGGTCAGAAGTGGTTTCTTCTACTCATTTACTCATTTAGGGTTTCTCTGAAGTTGAAAATATATTTTTGTAAAAAGAAAAGTGAGGGAATGTGAGTCTAATTTTCTATCAAGTTTTTGTCTCAATCTCTTCATCGGGATTCAGTAGAGAAATAGGCTTACGCTTCTCTTTATGAACACTTGCATTCACAGGGTATACATATTTGCAGAAGACAAATGAATCTTACTGACACTAAAAGTTTCTACATATGTAAAACAGGAATGAATGAATTCTGAAAAGCTTCACAGAAGCTGATACTTGTAAAGGAGAAAAAGAAAAGGTGAAAGAGAGAAAATTGCTGTTACTGCCAGGAAACAGATGAGAATTTTATTTGTGTATGAGCTCTAAAGGGAAGAAAGCAAGCTATTATTTTCTTACTTTTTCCCTTCCTCAACAATAAAGATCGCATGAGGTTACACTTCACTTAAAATAGGAAAGCAAGGCAATTTAGTTCTGGCTGTACAATGTAAAGTGACTCCCGTGTGATTCTCCTCTATTTCAGAACCATCAGTAAGGTGGGCCAGTCTCACTCCCAGAAGCAAAGAAGGAAGAAAGTGGAAAGTCAAAAGTTTACGGAAGCTGCATTGTTGCAGTGGATATGGGAGATACATGTCTGCTCGTGGCAGTTTTAGTGTAGCCAAGTGGTTGAGACAGAGCTGACAGTGAAATGGAGCAGAGATGAAGAGAGCCTGTATGTTCACAGTCTGCATCTGATGAGCCATGGAGGCCAGGGAGAAGGGCTTCTGCTGACATAATCATCTGTGAAGGTTCTCAGCAGCATCAGATGTAGTTTCACTCTGAGAAAAAAGTCCAGCAGTTTTTTAGATACTTTTGTCATTCATTCATTCTGAAACAACCTATCCTCATGTCCATGATACTGGACCTGAGGGGTCTCATGGAGTACACGTAGAGGAAAGGAATTTTCTGGAGCAAAAGTAACAAATCCTTCATATCCATTTTGTTTTGGTGTTGATGAAGAGCCAGTCACAGTACAATCATCTCCCATTCAAAGGGAGATGTTTGCTGGTAAATTGTGTTTGTTTTATTTTGAGTGTGTTCCTGGTACCTCAGAAAAAGCCATCTTCCTCTTTCCTTGCCTCTGAGCACATTGAAAAATGAACTCAAACAAGGCAGTTTTTCAATTTTTTGTCTGACTGAAAGTGCTGAGAATTCATTGGGCTTATTTCCAATATTTTTGGGGTTAGAGACTGAAGGAAATGTTTGTTATGTATAATGATTGTATTTTTATTTTTTTTTTTTGCACAAAGCTGATTTCCAAATGTAAACATCTCCTGCAGTATGGCTGTTCTTAGCTTTGATTGCCTTTGTCTTATGAGGCATTATTGGGGACTGTAAGGCTGTAAGCAGAAAGAAAGAAAAATAGAAAGGGAGAATATCTCACAGAGAAAACCATTCAGACTAACAGCCATAGTTTTGTCTGTGCAGCTCTGCATCACCTCTAGGAAAAGCAGACCTCATTTCAGACCTCATTTGTTCTATTTAACGCAGCCTGTTATGTTAGTGCAATAATAGTACAGTAATGGACTGAATTTTATTTCCTGAATCCACTTAATTGACATGGAGCAGAGTTGCAGGGGCTAATAGTTGGATTTCAAAGATGAGGCCAAATGCTTTCTATTTCCATTGTCTTCTTGGATATTGAGCGAATCTCACGGTCTCCCCTTGTTATCTGTTTGCCTGCTTTGCTGATGAGATGTATCCATCCCAACCCCTTGAGTTTCTTAGACTACAAACTATTCACTGTTTATTTCCAGGGCTGTAATGCTACAGTCTGGCTTCTGATTGTGTTCCATCACTGCTGAGACACTTCTGCCATTCTCAGGGAACAGTGCTTCATGCCCTGTCTGTGCTTATGCAGCCACACTGGTTGCTGTGAGTGGCCAATGCACACAACCCAACCACAGGTCTGCTGTTACATTGCCTAATCAGTTTGAAACTTAGCATCATCTCCCAGCTTTTTCCTATTGCAGCTGCTGCATGTTATGGCTGCTTTAACTGTTAAGAGACTTTTTTTATACTTCTGCTGATGGCCTCTGAACTGTTAGTCCCCATCTGGAGCTGCTACTTACAGTGACTTTTCTTTTAATTGTGCCTATTGTGGGACTGCTAAAAGATAGTATTTTTGTCCTTCTGAAAGATAAATGTCTTAAATAATGCAGAATAGTGCAATAGTCTTGCGGTACAGAAATAGTGTATTGTCTTTCTCGGGACTGGGAAACCTGGCAATGGCAGTGATCCCAGATTTGCTGCATCAGAGCTCAAACTCTCCTTTTCTTTGCAGAACAGCTTCTGCTAGATTCAGTGCTGCTTTACACCTTGAGTGCTGGGCTATGAGCAGAGGTTTGTATCCTCACTCTGCCGCCCTGAGGGGCTGCTGTTCCCACGCAGATAGGTTGGTGCTCTCTTTTTGTTCCCACTGCTACTGTTTTTCCTTGTGTATTTTTCCGCTGTACATTTGCAGCAACTGCATTACAGTCTGGTTTGCTTAACGCTTTGAGTCCCACGGAGTTTTATGTAGGGTTGGGAAGGTGAAGAAGAAAAATTTCATTTTAATGACTTGGCACCAGCGGTGTTGGAGGTAGTAAGACAATCCAGGAGTGAAAGAGTTATTTCACATTTTTTTCACAGCAATAGCTGTGGAAGGACATATGCTTGAGTGTGTATTCTTTTTATTATTATTTACAGTGACAAATATTTCCCGTTAGTTTTGAGTGCCTCATAAATGTGGAGCTGATGATGAATATATAGTTTACACTCCTGGAATCAGTGCAAGAAGACAGCTTGGTGTGGTTCACAGCGCACTGCGACCTCCATAGTGATTATTAATCAATCAGGATTTCAGGGGAACATCCACAATCCTAGATAAAGTACTTGCTTATTCCTCTCTCTTTTTTCTTTGTAAACATAATAGCTGAACTGGCAAACACACTATAGATGTGTGACTTCTGTCAAAGGATGCTGAGCTCTCTATGCCCTGATTTCAGGTTTAAAAGGGTTTGGTATGTTCCTCAGTGGGCTGTTAATTTGAATTGCCATGTCTTGTTGCACACAGCCTGGTGTGGAATCTTAACAGTGTTCAACAATCTCTCAGAGAGCCAGGTTGACAGCTCTAGGGTAAGTGGTATGGTTATGAGTCTGGGAACCATGAGCTGGGTTGTGGAGCTTTGGAGCTTGTTAGTATATAATGTTTTGTTAGAAAGCAATTTGTTCAGAGGAAAGGAATTGCTTTGAAGGAATAGAAAGAGATTTGGGACTTTGAACATGTTGCTGGTTAATTCCCTTTTAAAGCAGTGGTCTGCCTTTCATGGAGCTTGTAGTTGCACAAGATAGCGTTGTGTATGGGTAGGGCAGAAGGGATATTCACAAATTTTTACAGGATTCTTGTGAATATAATGGGAGAGAAATGTGAAACCACACTGAAGCAAGGTGTTGGGTTTTTTTTTCTGCTCAGAAAGAGAAGGCAGACTAGTTCCAGGCATTGTAAAATGGCAATAATCTTGTTCAAGTGACCAAATTTGCAACTTTTCTAGTATAAGTGAGGTGGAATAGGCATCATTGTTCTATTGACTTATCAGCAGAAACGTGACCATTGTGCTGAGTTGTTTCTTAGCCAGATCCCTGGGGTTCTTCTACAAAGACTGAGAAGTGAGAGAAGGTTTCATTATTATACCTCTTGCCACTCTCTGCAGAGCTGTAATCCTTAAGCACTACAGCCTATGTTCCTGAACGTGTCTTTGTGGCAGGGAGAGAGGTATTTTGTCTTTGAAGGAGGTTGCTGAGAAATATGCTGTGTTACCTTGTACTTGAACCACCACAGTAGCTTGCTGTTGCAGTGAAAACATCACTGAGCAAGATGAGGGTAGCAAGATGTGCAATTTCCTTTGGTGCTGTAAATCAAAGTTTTTCATTATCCTTTGGACAGACAGGAGAGAGACTAGAGAATCTGCCTGTCTGAGGCCCTTATGCCAAACTACTCAAATCTTCCTGACAGGATTTCTCCCAGGATTTCAACCAGGACTGGTTGGTATATATGCTGGAAATCTCTTTAAATCTGTTGTGTCTTTATGACTGAGGAGCAGAATCCAAAAAGAGTCACAATCCCAAAAGCTAAAAAATCCACTGCACATGACTGGCCTAAAGGCACCAGTGGAACTGCTTTTGTTTAGCAAAACCTATTGCAGAGCTACTATTGCTTGGGCTTTAGTATAAAACTGATGGAGGTGTTGAATTCTTCTGGAGGAATGATGACAAAACAGGGAGAGAGGTTATACTGACGGTGTGTATAGCTCCTTTAAAGCTAAGCACAATTTAGGACTTAGGAGATGTTAACCAGACACTAGTTTTTTAATTCTCCTTAATTTGAGAAATGATTTTTAAAGAAATATTAAGAGAAGTAATTCTTTTTATGTATTTATCTTTGCAGGATGAATAAGAGATACTTACAGAAAGCAACAAAAGGGAAGCTGCTAATAATAATATTTGTTGTAACGCTGTGGGGGAAATTAGCATCTGGAGCAAATCATCATAAAGGTAAGAAATTTTGTTTATATTATATTGATGTATCTCAAACCTTAGTTAGCAAATTCAGGAGTGTCCACTTTGTAAGACCTTTTTTTTTTTTCTCTAGTATATATTTGTGTGTCCTTGTACTGGTTCACAAATCAATACCCAAGGGACTGTTATTAATTTTGGGGGAATTTAAGTATTTTCAATTTTTATTTCAATTTTCCATTTTCAGCAGTCTCCGATTTTAGCATCTTCTCAGTCAATTTCTAATGATGGTACAGTTGAAAAGGTAGTGCAAGAAGCTTGGCAAGTCAAGGAATCAAATATATGATAAAATAGCTATATTGACTAGTTTCTATGTGTGCCTCTGATAAATTCCTGCAGTGAACCTTGGAAACATTATGTTGCTACTGTGTACAGTTACTTGTCAAGGCTAAGTTCATCAAATGCATGCTGAGTGTGATTCTTTCTCCTTACTTTCCAGTACCATTCTTCTAGTACTGGACCAAAAACTATACCAAAACTTTGACAATATGAGTTTTTTCTTCCTCCTAGTTGTTCCAGTCCTTAAAATGCAGAAAAAGGACAAGGAAAAATAGCATTCCTTTTTTTCTTTTTTTCTTTATTTCTTTTTTTCTTTTTTTCTTTTTTTTTGTTTGTCCTTCAGGATGGAAAAAAGTTCTCTGGATCTATTAACTAAAGCCTTTTTTTTAGGCCAATATATCTTGAAATGTGATCTGCTATATAACATGATTTTGAAGTCCACTTCTTCATAGAGTGTCTGTTGGCTGTTTATCCTCTTATTTGAGATCAGAATACTCTCTAATAATTTGCGTAAAAGAAGTAAAGAATTAAACATAGGGAATGATTCTAATACAGCATATCAGTTCATCTGACTTCATTTTCACAGGATCATAGAAAATGAAATGAATGGCCTGGGTTGAAAAGGACCACAATGATCATCCAGTTTCAACCCCCCTGCTATGTGGAGGGTCACCAACCACCAGACCAGGCTGCCCAGAGCCACATCCAGCCTGGCCTTGAATGCCTCCAGGGATGGGGCATCCACAGCCTCCTTGGGCAACCTGTTCCAGTGCATCACCACCCTCTGTGTGAAAAACTTTCTCCTAATATCTAACCTAAACCTCACTTTAAAACCATTCCCCCTTGTTCTATCAGTATCCACTCTTGTAAACAGCCGTTCCACTTCCTGTTTATACACTCCCTTCAAGTACAATGAGAATCCACAATGAGATCTCTCCTGAGCCTTCTCTTCTCCAACCTAAACAAGCCCAGTTCCCTCAACCTTTCCTCATAGGAGAGGTGCTCCAGCCTTGTGATCATCTTAGTGCCCTCTTCTGGACCCGCTCCAAGAGCTCCACATCCTTCCTGCACTGGGGGCCCCAGGCCTGGATGCAGTGCTGCAGATGGGGCCTCACAAGAGCTGAGTAGAGGGGGACAATCACCTCCCTCTCCCTGCTGGCCACCCCTTTTTAAATGCAGTTCCTTCTGATAATATAATTCTGTGAGCAAGTACTTTTATATATCTAACTGCTGGATATTTTTCTGCTGTGTGAAGATGTTTTTCTTCAACATACTCACTGACTAAAGACTTCAGGATGCAGAGGAACTTAAAGCAAAGTCTTCTAAATTGTTATTTAGGTGCAATCTGATATGGTCCTGCAGGTCACCAAAGATGGGCATTATGCCAGATAGGAACCTTGCTGATTCACTTTGCTCAGCCTTTGTTCCCTCTTTAAACTAGAATGTGGATTTGTGTTCTGGCTTGCTAGAAAACAGCTTGTTGGAAAGCAGCCAAGCTATCCTAGCATGAATTCATAATTCTTTTGTCCGTGATTATCTTTCTTTAGAAATCAAAAATCCCATTTCCAGATCATTTTTATTCTATTCACCAAAGGCTGATCAAGCTGTGTTTGCTTCTGTCCAACTGAAACTTTACCAAAGCATGTTTACCAATCTTTTTGAAAAACTGATGAATGAAACCTGTCACCAGGTAATTCCTGGAAACAAAAGTAATTAGAATCCTAAGGACTACTTGGAAAAACAGTACTTCATAATCGAGAATCAAATGATCCTACCTTTCCTAACCTCAGGCAGACTGATACTTCTTGCTAACTGGTATCATCCGCTAAATTACTGATAATGAACTGGATTTGTCCAGGTCATAAATAAAGAAACTGAATGAGACAGGCCTTAATACTGATTCCTGGGGAACACCAGTCAGGACCGAATGTCAGCTGGATGTTTTTAGATGAAAAATGTGAACATGAGCCCTTCCCTTCCCTCATCCCCCTGCCCCCTTGTGAAGTCAGCTTGTTAACATTAGGGAATTCTTTACATTTCAGCAAGTTGACAAAAAGCTTTGGTTCTTCTTTAAGTTATAACTTGTCATATAACTTGTTATTTAGCAAAATATATGAAGATATCTTCAGGGAACCATAAAAAGAAGAAACATGACTTGAGTGTTTGATTTAGAAAAGCAACAATTGTGTATGTCCAGGTTATTTTAGGAGGAAAAAAAAATATGCGGAAGGATTTTGTCATAGGTGCAGTACATCTCTGAAGCAGCTGCACTCATCTTATATAGGGTTGTTTTTTTTTTTTAAAGCACAAGTCAAAGATAGGCAACTCAACTATTACTGCCAAGGAAACTGGGAGTTTAACTTTCATTCTGCCATAAACATTCTCCCCCCTAACAGAAAAGGAACTAAAGTGCACTGAAGGAAAACTTGGCACTGCTCACCTTCACCAAAAGTCCCCAAATACTGAGAAAAGTGTGTTTCTTCAGTGATAATTATCCCTACCATCATTAATCTTCATTTACAGGAGTCCTTACCAACATATTGATGTGACAAAGCCTAATGACTTTGAAGGAGCCCCTACAGTTTCACAGATCAATAATCTACATTTTAAAAAATCTTTACTTTCCTCTATTGATTTAGTCATATTACGCATCAGTTGCACCAACTCTTAAACCCATCTCTTTTTTTGAAGGCTATTGTCAAAAAAAGAGAAAGAAAAAGAAGGAAAGATCATCAACGTGTGAAAAATTGTTTAATGAGCATTCTGCTTTCCAGATAGACTACCGCAGTGATACACACACTGACTCTGACAAGCCATCTGTAGACTTGTTGCGCTTATTTCAGTGATATGGCACAAACAAGAAATTCCAGGTCAGCAGCAAGAGAAGCAAAGCCTCAAGCAGGAAATAGGAAGCCAGGCCATGAGGCCCAGATGAGGCTGCAACCGCCAAAGCTGCCATCTAGGATTTCAGGTTACAGCTTTTTGGTGTCAGGTAAGTGAGTAGCTAGTCCTCTTCAGAAGACTGGTTTGAAGACACTTCTGTTCCCTCATCTTGGCTGACTGTTAAAGGTTCATCAGTCTGGAAGGAAAGACTAGGAGCTAAAAGTATGCACTCATGGTGTTTAAAAGAAAACACCAAACTTACCTTTTTATTTTGACTTCTGAAAAGAAGCAGGAACTCAACTTTTTCCTTTTAATTTCACTGTGAACTCATGCTATGAAGATCTTACCTAGCAAGTGTGTTTACGAATCTGACTGCAGTACACTTGTGCAGTACTAGCTATATATGAAAAGACAAGTAAAATGTGGAATGTCAGTATACAAAAGGATGTCGTCAACGTTATAAGTCTGAAAACTGATATGCTTCGAGGGCAGCCAAAAGATTTTTACTTCAAGAAATCCATAAGAGTTTTATACTCTGAGACTGATCCTGATCCTCCTACTCATTGCTTGCCCTTGGAAAGCAAATAAACCTGTGCAAACATATCGTCTTCACTGACAGATGTGGCAGGCGGGCATCGGTTCAGCATCACTGCCTCCTTGCTCTTTCTGTCATAGGGAACATGAATTGATTTGGTGACCATTGTATCTTAACCTGTATTAAAGGTTTCAAGTATAGGACTGGTCCTTTTGAGAAGGAAATATACCAATGCGCCCCTTACAAGCACTCCTTTATAGATAAGAAGCAAACTTAGATGCAGTTTCTACCTTTAAATAAAACTCTTAGAATTTGGATTTCTTTGAGCTTTTCATAATTACCCTTTTTTTTTTTTTTTTTTTTTTTTTTTTTTACATTGATAACAGAATAAAATTATGTGGATAAATTAAGGGTGCTTTTCAGTCTGAGCCTATGTTCATTGGGGCACTCTTTGGAAGTGCAATAATGCTAACACTGCACTAAGTCAGCGTGTGACCAGACTCCTGGCGCTGCCTGACCCCTGGAGTGTGGAATTGATCTGTTCTAAGCAGAGATAACATAGCACTTTGTTAAAATGTGTGCTAATGGCCTGTGTGTGTTACCTCAGTGCCCTCATACTCATTGTATGCACAAGGAGTGAAATTCACTGGTGAGTTAGGACATCTTTTTTGGTGGCTTAATGGGTGATTTATGTCGTATCTGTTGTTCACAAAGTGTGTGGGAATTGAGGCATGATGGTGAATATTGCGCAAACTCAGTGTTGTGAATCTCACCTTAAAGATACCATTGATTGTCTGACCCTTGTGCTTGATTTTCTTCTAGACGGACTCTTTTTTCGTTATCAATCAACTGACATTCATCTCATTACCTATGTGTAAATTTGATGCTATAAATGTGATCCCATGCTCAGCATAGATGACAGTTTTTAAAGTCTAGTGCTGGCTTGCACTCATTAGGCTCACAAGACAAAACTTTGCCACGTAGCTTTGAAGTTCAGTAAAGGCGATGCCTAAGTGGAGACGCTTCTGAGCACTGATGTTTTTAGTTCCACTTATTTGTCTTCCTGATTTGCTGTTTGCTGTATGTTTAAAAATGAAGCCATAGAGCAGAAGACAGTGTTTGCTTCATAGTCATTACTTGCTACAGGCCAAATGATACTGCTGTGGTGGCTCTGGGAGAAAGCCTCCAGAGGACATGGTGGTCAGGTTGAAAAGGAGAGAGACAGGATACCTACAGCAGGAGCACAGACTGGGGGATGACTGCAAAGATCAATGAACAGGCA